AGATGCGAAAACTAAGTTGGCCATTAGGCTGGAAGCCGTATAAACGACCTAACACTAGCCGCACATAAGCACACGCTGTGAAATGGGAGGGAGGAAGCAAGTTGCGACACAGTGGAGAACAGAGCCGTATAAACGACCTAACACTAGCCGCACATAAGCACACACTGTGAAACGGGAGGGAGTAAGTAAGTTGCGGCACAGCGGAGAACAACAGTAGAAGGTATAATCACCCCGTTTTTTAAGAGAGGGTAATTATACTCACTCATATGTAACTGTCTATAGAGAAAAGTCCAAAAAGATATGCACCAAACTACTGACAGACTGGGAAAAAAACGACCTAACACTAGCCGCACATAAGCACACACTGTGAAACGGGAGGGAGTAAGTAAGTTGCGGCACAGCGGAGAACAACAGTAGAAGGTATAATCACCCCGTTTTTTAAGAGAGGGTAATTATACTCACTCATATGTAACTGTCTATAGAGAAAAGTCCAAAAAGATATGCACCAAACTACTGACAGACTGGGAAAAAAAATGTCAACATTCTACTTTATGTATTTTGTTTTCCTTTGTTAAAATAACCACATAACAATTATTTAAAAATTAAACTTATTGGGACCAGCAGTCGCTGAACTCCCACGTAATCGACCACGGTTCGCGTCCCAGACCCGGTGGCTTAAAAATCTCACGCTGGGTGTGTGTGCATGTGTGCCCAAGATCCTGAGAGAACGAAGGAGAAGGGACTGCAGCGTGGCCATCCCCTCTGGGGGGTGATTTCTTGCTTTCTATCTCTATGTCTCTCTCTGTCTGTCTGGCGAGCGCACGCGCCCTATAGCAAAAACCTCTCCAAAAACAAAATAAACCTTAGTAAAAAAGAAAGAAGTGACAAATACTGGAAAGGAGGATATTAGGTGGTCGACCTAAGGATTTCTGAAGTCATCCAGGCTGATATTAAGATTAAAAATTAGGAACCAGCAGATGGTATAATGGCTATGTCACTGGACTCCCATGTTGTCAACCATGGTTTGAGTCCCAGACCCGGTGACTTAAACTCATGCCGGGTGTGTGTGCGTGCATGCCCAAGATCCTGAGAGGAGAATGGAGGAGAAGGGATTGCGGCGTGGCCATCCCCTCTGGGGGGTGATTTCTCACTTTCTGTCTCTCCCTCTCTCTCTCCTCTCCAATAAAAAGAAAGAAGAAGAAATAACCATTGGCTCAAAGGTGACCATGGTAGAGAGCAACTGAAGGGTGAGTTTATAAAAGTAGCTAACAACAATCGGGACAAAAATCCTGCTTTCGCAATTTGCTTCCTCCTGTGAACGAACATTCAAAATTTATATAGGTAATTCTACAAAGACTTCATCAGCTAACTTGAAAGAATGCACACAAAGTGGCACGGATAGCAGGACACTGCTGAACAGTGCTGGGGCCATATGGGAGGCCCGTATGTTTTATAATAGTTGGCAAGTTGATCTGAGCATGCCAGGTGTACCCATGTGCATCCACAATCCCAGGTACCCGGAGGCTAGGAGAGGACTGCATGTAGCAAGACTGTGTTGAGGGGACCTGTTTCTTTCTTCTCTCTCTCGTAAAATAAGTAAATAAAATAAACTTTAAAACAAAGGTGGCTGGACAATGGCACAGTGGTAACATAACTGGATCCGTATGGGAAAGTTCCTGGGTTTGTGTGCTGGGACCTCTTTGAACAAGCCACATGTGTGAGCAGCTGCCTGTGATAAAGCTGAGACTGGGAAGGACCGTAGTATGAGGACCCTGCTGGGGGGCGGGGGGTGCTGTCTCTCTCACTGTCTACTTCCTTGCTTCTTCCTGCTCATTGAAGAAATAAATTTAAAAAAATTTTTTAAATACACAGCTGACTTTTTTGTTGGGTAAGAAAGGTACTACCAAATTTTCTGATTCATTACATTAAATCGCAAACAAATGCTTATGAACATTAGGCTATTTGGATCTTGCAAAAGTAAAATAAAATTTAGAGTACTAGAATCTTTACTAGCAGTTATCTTAGAATTTAAAGAAGTCAAACCGGGAGCAAACATCCCTGGCTACACTTCAGTCAGCACTAGTTAACTACCGAAGGAGCCACCAAAACAGGGCCCTCTTCCTTCCATGATCTGACACACAGACTTCATGGAAAAAAATGAACATTTCATTGAAAAGAGAGATGCAAAGAGGAAAGGGGAACGGAGAGAAAGCTCACCTCGCCATTGTCCAGAACAGCCATGGATGAGGTCTGACCACAGGCAATTCCAACCACCCTCTTAATATGTAAACAGTTCGTAACTTTCCGAGGAGTTGGTTGATTGGCTGTAGATCCTGATCCAACTTGGCCACAGTTGTTATAGCCCCAAGCAAATACCTGTAACGGAAGGGACCAAGAAAGAGTAGTCAGGGTGAAACTTCTACCTTGAACACAAATCATCATAAAATAAAAATAACCCTGCTTATGAGCACTTACAACAGGCGAAGTGGTACGAAACGCTTTCCATGCATTAGCTTATTTAATCCTCATGGTAAACCTGGAAAGCGACCCTGGGAGGGTAGGTGATTATCATCATCCTCATTTTACATATGGAAACTGAAACACAGAGAGGGTCAAGGACTTGCTCGAGGTGCCACAGATAGTGAGCAATACAAGCAGAATTTGAATCCAAGCAGTTTTGTTACGCTCTTAACCATTAGGCTGCACTGCCTCTATTTTCATGGCAATTATGTACATATCTTCAATCAGTCAGCAATAGGAAAAGAGGTACAGGCCATGCAGTTATCAGTAATGCATACAATCTGCCCAACTTTCTGGCATAAATCTTGTACTTCAGGAAGATCTTTCCAAACAAAACTACGCTCCTCGTGGTTTACAGTAATGAACGATCCTGGGCCTTACACAGACCTTCCAGGATGATCGACTGTCCTTCCACATCATAACACAGTAATACTAATAAAACTAGTGCTGAGAAAACCATCTGCCCTACAGAAGCGACACCACGGGGGCAGGCTTTTCTTGGTAAGATCTGTGTGGAGTTCTCCTGGCTGGCTCGCTGTCAGATTCAAGCCGCTCCCCTGCTCAGCTGCATCTCACGCTTACCTTTGCCTGGGTCTCTGCCATAACCTGACAATCAGATTTCCAATGGGCAGAAACACAACACGTCGCTAGGTTAGTTAAAATTTACCAACAAAGATGAACAACAGAATAAAACAATCACTCCAAGTTAATTTCCAAAGGATCCTATCAACCAGGGATGTGACCAGAAAGGAAGAATAATTAGGAAAGAGGGTTTTGGCTGTGGAGGAAATAACTCCCTCAGTACCAGGAGAATTTCCAAAACCACACTTTCCGCCCGTTCGTTGTCTGCAGGAAGTAGTCCTCACAGCCTGAGTTTGGCTTCCACAATTCCTTCCCTCCACACTTTCTAAGTTCACGTGTCTGACACTGACCAAGGCAGTAACCGTATCATCTGCTGAGGTCTTAAAAGAGTACACGCCACAGGTTCATTTCACAGGTACAAAAGAAATCATCTGCAGCACTTCCTTTAAGGGTATTCACGGGAATAGCTAGCTGAATAATGCACATAATTAGCACAATTATCCAAAATAGCATAGACTTCAGGCTAAAATAACCAAGAATCCAGCCAGTGCAAATGAGTAAATTCTGCCTAATTTCTACAATCATTTTTCTGGTTCTTCTCAAATATCCTAAGTTCACTAGCAATGTCATTGCCTTTTACTTAGAAACTGGGACACAGGCCAGCCTGTGGCATGATGGTTAAGGTGGATGAGTCCCGCATGGCATGTGTGTGTATGGTTCAAGCTGGTCACGTATGTGCGCGTGTCCCGAATCCCAAATGGAGGGAGAAACGGAGGGGGGGAATGGCGTGCTCATTCCCCATGGTGGACAATATGTTCTCACTTTCTGTCTCTCTCTGGCAAGCCCATGCACCCTCCAGAAAAACTGAAAAGAACATTGAGTCTATAGTTCCACTAAGACATGGGCTAGGGAACAGTGGGTTCTGGGCACTAGGCCCACGTGCTATGCCTGCTTCCAGCACATCACAAACACTTGATCTCCCCAAACTTTTTGATTTCTTCCTCTTTAACTTGCCCTATTTAGTAAAATCCCTGCAACACCACTAAACAACTTTAAATAAGGGAACGACAGAACCTAATTGGTGTTTTAGAAATTACAGGGGGAGGGACCAGCAGATGGCATAATGACTACATCACTGGACTCTCATGTAGTCGACTGCAGTTCGAGTCCTAGACCCAGCAACTTAAAACTCACACCGGGCACGTGTGCATGCATGGCCAAGCTCCTGAGAGGACAATGGAGTTGAAGGGATTGTGGTATGGTGTCTCTCCAGCTAGTGTGCATGCCCAATAGCAAAAATCTCTCTTAAAAAATGAAAAAGAAGAAGAAATGACATGGGGACAGAAACAGCTGCAACAATGCAGGTGCTGCTACTCAGCAGGCTGAGTCTGTATGAGAGGCCAGCTTTGATTCCCGGACTACCCTAAAACCCAGGTGCAGTGACATGTATCTGTAATCCCACCTACTCAAGGGGCTGAGGCAGAAAGATCATGACAAAGTGTCTAAAAAAAGAGAGAAATCATAGGAAGACAGGGAAGTAAAACTGGACAGGCAGACCACTTTAAAAGGTATGGAACAGGCACAGGCACAGCGCAGTGCACTGCCAAGATGCTGTATTCCAAAGGCTCGCCCACATTTGATCCCAGTGCAACATTAAGGCCAAGTGCAGTGGTATGCACCTGTAATTCCAGTGACTTGGAGGCTGAGGCAGGATTGTGAGCTTCAGGCTGGCCTGGGCAACATAGCCAGACCCTGTATTAAACAAGAGGTAGTAGGGGGAGAGCAGCCAGTGGCATAGTGATTGGGGTGTCTGGAGCCCACATGGCCAGTTGCACAGTTGGGTCCTAGACATGGTGGCTTGAAAACCTGCCAGGAATAAATGTGTACATGCCCAAAATCTTGGTATGATTATTTACTAGAATGCTGATAAAGTTACCTTCTCCAGCATCTTTACATATGCTGAAGAACAAAACAGACCTTAAAGGCCATTTTAAAAATATATAGAACACTGCTATATATACCTTACTTGTAGTCTTAGCAAACAGGACAAGATTCAACTACCTTAAGATTAAAATCTGATAGTCTGAGAAGAGGGTGGGAAAGGACAGCGGGTCAGAAAGAGGGGTAAAATAATTCTAGGAACTAGAAATGAAAAGTTTTTTATAATATGCATGATTAAGTCACTGCAGTATATACTGGATGGGAAATCACATTTTGTATGCTGTGATGATGCTTAGGG